ATTTATTTCATTTCTTGATATATTGGAAGAACATTTCAGTTTAGGGGTCTACCCCATGTTGTATGTTCATTTACCCTTTGTGGTATGTTTGCATATTTTGTACCATTTTCCAATTGTGAATAGTATTGCTGTGAATGTTTATGTTGGCTTTGGTTGTGATAATGGTTCTGGTTGATGATGTGTGCATCGTGGTATATGGCTTATAGATTATGGTTTTAGGATTCTATTGTTTAATGGTGTACAGTTTTGGGTTTGTGGCATATGGCTTTGTGTTCACACGCCGTTATGATTTGGGTGTTTTTGTGTGAGGAGGTGGGAAGAAGAGTGTTATTGGGTTTGAGATGAAATATTTCTTGTGGGTGAGTGGATGAGGGGGTAAGCTGGTGGATGTTTGTAGGGGAGGGTTTAGGAGGGTCAGTGGGTGGTGTGGGGGGGAGCTAGTGGGTTCAGAATTTGGAAGTGATGGTTTAAGGGTGAGTGAGTGAGGGTCTGAGAGGGTAATTGTTTAGGTGGTAAGGGGGTGACAGTATTTGGTGTGGGTTTAGAAGGTTTTGAGGATGAGTGCTTATTACTTGAGAGATTAGAGGGATAAGGTGGTAATGGTTTAGGGAATGAGGGTTTAGGATATGAGGATAGGAGTTCGGGTGAACCTTGAGTCATTGGAGATAATGGTTAATTGTGTTTAGGCTGGGGTGGTGGAAGATGCAAGGAGAACCCAGTTGTCCAGAGGACTCATTAGGGAGAGCACTAGACTGATTAACTGGAGTTTGTGGGTTCCAACCTAGAGGTAGTATTGGAGAAATGAATAAAATAATGCATCAAAGATGGCCAATGGGACTAAAACAAGGTCTGGTCTCTATCTTAGAGACCCTCTCCTGGGTTCTTCTTGCCCTGTTTGCCTTGTGCGCGAAAACCCACACAGATATGGAAACTGACAACTATAAATTACCCTTCCCACTTGCATTCGGGGCTCAGATCTTTGGAGAAACAGTCTCCTCCTCTGAGCCCGCTGGTATTAAGTACATCTCCAATCCACCAAGACCTCTGAGTGCCCCTTGGTTTTTCCACCAGCATTCCAGCCTGGTTCTGTAACATATTTGGCTCCCTGACCAGGAAAACCAACTGCGCTGGCCCATGGTTGCCACTGGTTTGGAAGAACAGCGAGGTGGTGATGGAGTGAAGAAACAGCAAAGGAGAAAGTGCCCCCTGCCTGAATTTCGTCAGTCTCCTGTCCAGCTGCCTCTGGCCAGCCCCGCTCTGCCGTTCCCGCCGGGTTCAAAGAGGCCTGGTAGGTGGGGAACTGGACTCGACATCGGAACCAGTAAGGCCAGAGCCCCAAAGTAGTGAGGCCCACCCAAAAGGGTGGAAGGGGGACCTGATCACTGCCTGGAGACCTGAGTGATCTCACAGGTAGAAAATTTTGCAGGAGGGAATGTAATAGCCTCTGCTGTGTGTGTGTGTGTGTGTGTGTGTGTGTGTGTGTGTGTGTGTGAATGTGTGGCTTGGCGAGGCTTGCCAGTCGAGTTCGAGTTTGTGGCTCCATGGACGGGCACCCTTAAGGTCCCCACAAGTCTATGGAGTCTGAGTGGGCTCACCTACATTGCAGTGAAAAGCATACAGTCCAGGGTGGCATCAGATTAGACTCCAGTCACAAGTTACAAAGCCGGATCCACTATGGCCAAGCCTCACCTAAAGTTTCCCACGGGAACGCAACCAGTGGAGTATCTGATTGGTCCTCTCATCTGAGGGGATACCCTCCCTTTGTCTGTCTCCATGACACCGAACACGAGAAAGGAATTAATAATGGGATCAAAACAGAGTAAGCCTACGATTTTAGAGGTCATGCTCAAAAATTTTAAAAAGGGTTTTTCAGGTGATTATGGGGTAAAAACGACACCTGGGAAGCTAAGGACCTTCGTGAACTAGAATGGCCCATATTCGATGTAGGTTGTCCCTCGGAAGGGACATTAGATGCTCAAGTAGTGCAGCAGGTTTGGCTGATAGTCACTGGGAACCCAGGTCACCCTGATCGATTTCCCTACATCGACTCCTGGCTTGAAAGGGCCCCAAATCCTCTGCCTTGGGTGCGATTCATCCATAGCAAGCAGAGATAGGCAAAGGTTTTAGCTGCCTTATCTGGAGACTCACCCAGGGAGCCCCAGAAGCAACCCGCCACTTCCCTAGTGTTTGCAGGAGACCCGGAGGAAGATCCCATCTATCCGCCACCTTATGACTCACCGTGCTCCCTCCCCCCTGCCCCTGTGCTTTCAGCTCCTCCTCTGTCTGTCTCTCCTCCAGCCCTGGATGTGCTGCCCATCTTTCCTCCCTCCACGGACCCAGAGAACCCTCCCCCACAAGGACCAGTGGCCAGATTGTGCCCTCAGTCAGGCACAGACACTCTCCAGATGCCCAGCCACATCCACAGGTACCAAGAGGCTCTCCTCCAGGGGATCAGAGCAGGGGCAGAGAAGCCCATGAATAGGCCCAGCAGCAAGGGGATTCCCTCAGGGATTATTATGAGAGGCTGTGGGAGGCTTACACCCTGTTTGCTCCAGAGGCACAAGAGAGCCACGACAGAAGGATGGGGAAGGTCTACCCGCCAAAAGGTGTAAGGCCCAGAACCTCCTTAGCAAGGGGTCAACGAGACTACTGCAAGCAGAAAGGACATTAAAAGAATAAATGTCACAACCAGGGAAAGTCCCGGAAACCCAGCCGATAGCAGGAGGAACCTCGAGAAGGGGACCTTATTGGTCTGGCCGAGATAGAATCAGACTGAAGGGGACACCGACTCTCTCTCCCTCTTCCTCTGCCTAATGGATGTGAGGGATTCTCCCTCATTTCCCAGGTTCACAGCTATAATTGGAGCCCAATGTGGTTAGTCTACCTCGGGATGGGGACTTTAAGGAATGTTCCCAAGCAGTTTCTGAAACTCCATTTGTGTTGGGGAAATTCCCAGTCTTCTCTGGCCTGATGTGGACTCCATATTTCCACTTTGGTGGAAAAAACATGGCGTCTGCTCCTCTCTCTGAGTTAAGGTTTTGAATTAGGTTTTCTTTCTCTGCCTTTTACTGGCACCTTGCCTCTTCTGCCTTCCCCTCCCCCTGCTGTTTCTGCACCAACTTGGGTGTGGTCTACATAACTGGTTCCTATACCCTCCTCAGTGCCTCAGGCACCATTGGTTCTCCTCCCATCCTCAAGGTCAAGGAGTAAAGTGCACCCTCTTGGACATCTAGGTCTTTTCCAAATAGAATGAATTGCTAAAGCTTTGATTACTGAACATAGGTTGTATTTTTAACTTCTTACTGCAGAGAAATTAAGGCTATTTGGACCTACTGGAAAACATGCTTTGTACTTAATTGGTTGATGAATTTACCATCTAAGAAAAATTCTGGTGTAAATACCTCTCAATTGGTTACTAAGTCCTCAGTTGGAGACTAAGTTTTCCTAAGAGTTCAAATTCTGCTAAGTGTGCTTAAGACGGATGGGAATAGGGAAAGCAACCCTGTATGTAGGAAAGTAGGAGGTTTGTAAGAAAGATATAAGGAGCGGAAATACATTTTTGTTGAGGGTAGAAGAAGGTAACTTTGTCCTAAATGAGACTGGCTATTTGGCGAGAAATGGCTTTGGGACAAAGTTTGAAGGCAAAGGGAAGTTGTAGAAGGTCCATGAAGGGCAATCCCAAGGAATTTATGTGTGCTCAGGATAGACTAAGGTTGAGATGAATGGAATTTTAAAAGTACACTGGTATAAGGTTGAAATTCTGCTTTTCTCTCTGCTCAAATTACAAAGTTTTCTTGGACTGCTGATCTGTGCTTGATAAGACAGTGCAAACAAAGGTTTGTTTTCCGGGAAAACCAGAGTTTTAGGTTTCATCTTTATCAGGTCTTTGATCACTTAGTTAAAACTTCTCAATGTTAAGGGAGCTAGGTCTTGGTAAGAACTACATAATGCTATCCATTGACCTTTTGGATCTTTTATTGCCACCTTGGTTGAATAAATCAAGTCTTAAGATTTGTAATCATCTGTAAACCTATTTAGGCTGTACTTATCACTTGCTAAGGTTTTAAAAAACTTCCCAGGATTTAAGTTGTAAATGAAGTCTTTTTGACCAATTAGGCCCTTTTATTTGGGATGCTAAGTTATTGGGAAAAGCACTGTCGTACAATGGTAAACCTTAGGTTGGATTGCACAGGTAAGTGCTGTAACTGCCCAAATATATATGCATTTCCTAATGTTTTAATGTTTTGGCATACAGTCATCACTTAATATTCTGATTACTTGAATTGTTATGTGTCACAGAAACAACTGAATTTCTTTGTCAATTGCATCATAGTGAACTCTCATCAGATCTTTAACAATGTCTATTTCTGAGATTTTTGTCATTTATAATTGTTCTTATTCTCTCACAAAATGTGTTTCTTCTTCAAGGAGATTTATAAAAAGGACTTTGGGGACAAATACAGGTATTTGACATCTTTAAGATTAATATTAAAATGGGTAAGAATTTCCAGAACTCAAAAGCTGCATTCAAATTGCACAAGAATTAGGAACATGGGATTAAATGAACTCAGGAAGATTATAGTTTTGTGATTCTTGTTGAAAATATTGTTGGTTCTCTAATGTTTGCTCTTCCAGATTAAGGACACTTTCTCTCAAGATATCTATGATATACAGAAATGTCATATTCATTTGCAAACTGAAACATTTATCTTTTCTCTCTACATAACTCCCCTGAAATTCAAAAACTCTCAGTGAGTATTCTTTCTTTCACGGCAATTACAGTTTGCATAAGTTCAGTAAGAATCTGTTCATCTTATAACAGGTCACCATTGGAAATACTGGTTATTTTACCAAAGCTTTGACTGGAATGTCATATTTGAGAGTGACATTCATAGACTCAGATATGACCAGAGAGCTTTAAGGAACTAAGGTTGGCTTTATGAAACATGGAGCCACAAAGTCCCTTGGAAATGTTGGCCTGATACCTTGCTTACAGAGTTCCCAGCAGCCTCATCAGCTGAGTAAAGAAGGTCACTTCCTGGCAGGTGCAGGACCCTCAGGATATCTTGGGGACGTCATGAAGAGGAATTAGCCCTATTCTACAGGTATTACAGGCCTGTCTGATGGCAAGTATTTGGCTCAGCTTCTGGCCTAGAGAAGCTACTAAATGTTCAACCCAGAGATTCCTTATAAAAGGTTCCAGCAAAGCAAACTTTAAAAGATCCTCATGATCAATCGCTATTCTTGCTGAGCTTACTAAATAATTAGACCATGCTTGTTAAGACTGGACTTGTTCTACAAATGCACTGGTCTCAATTTGGCTATCTCTGGAAAGGGGGGCGGTTAGAGAGAAAAACTATGTTTCAACAATGCACTGTTATGGATGTTAAATTCTAGTTCTGATTGTCTTTAAATGTTTGTTGTTTGCCTAAACTAGACAACTTGAGGTAAACTTCAGAAAAATTGTCACAGTATATCATGTATAGACAATCTTCTGTGCTTGTTATTCTGTGGGGATAACAATAAGACCCCCATGGGCATATGATTATTTAGACAACTGGAAAACAGGATGAATCTCTAAATATGCAAACCACATCTTCCCTAACACTTATCTGACATTTACCAGAAACCCACCCCTTTCTGAGACTTGGAGGTGGACTTTACAGATATACAACCAAATAGAGGACTCAGTTTCAGGTATCACCCTATGGGTCCATCACTCCAGACTTCAGAAGGCCAACTCAGAGGAACCCTCAACCTGGCGAAGTGATCCAGATCCAGTCAACCCACTTAAACTGACCCTCAAAAAGACACTGGCCCCTGAGATCTCCAGCCCTGCTCCAGCCACACCCTGGAAGCTGGCTGGCCTGCGCATGGAAGAAGCTTGAGGAATCAACATGTAGACTGAGCCCAGCGGTTCAGATGCAACTCTGCCAGCCCTTGCCCCTTACTGGTGTCATCGCCCTGATCTTGCTTCTTGCTGTCGGGCTAATAGAGACGGCACCAACAAGCTGGACACGGAACAGATGGCAGACTCCCTGGGAACCTGACAAAGCCAAATAAACTCCCTGGCCGCAGTGTGCCTCCAAAATAGGCCAGCCCTCAACCCCCTCACTTCAGAAAAAGGAGGGACTTGTATCTTTCTGGGGGAGGAATGCTGCTATTTTGTAAACCAATCAGAAATAGTCAGGACTAAGGTTAAGGAATTCAAAGAATTCAATGCAGACAACAGGAAAATATCAGTCAATGGAGAAGATGGGATCTCACAGACTGGGCGTCCTGGCTCCCTTCCCTGGCAGGGCCCCTCCTTTCCGTAATTTTACTTGTGGCCATCGGCCCCTGTATACTAAATACCCTGGTATGTTTTATTGAAAATGCTGTTGTTCGCCAAACTGCAGCATGTATCTTAGCCTTCCGAGGGTACCAACCCCCAGAGCTAAAAGGTGATGCCTAAGAAAATATTTCTAAAAAGTCATCAAAGGGGGGACTGTTGGGAAAATGAATAAAGTTTTACACCATAAGATGGCTGACAGGACTAAAACAAGCTCTGTTCTCTACCTTAGAGCCCTCTTCCAGGTTCTCCTTGCCCTGTTTGCCGCGTACATGAAACCCCACCACAGATATGGAAGCTGAAAACTATAAATTACCCTCACCCCCCCTTCATTCGGGGCTCAGATCTTTGGAGAAGTGGTCTCCTCTGAACCCGCCGGCGTTAAATAAATCTCCGATTCACCAAGACCTCCGAGTGCCACTTGGTTTTTCCGTCAGCGTTCCAGCCTGATTCCGTAACATCACCAGGCAGGAAGACACAGAAAAAGACAACAAAATAAGGTTCATGTTATGGGAAAGAGAGGCACATATACTCAAACCTTTGGTAATTTTCCTTCAGTCCATTACTGTCATTTGAAGAGAGATTTGAGGCCTTCCACTGGTTCACAGGAATAAGAAGGCATGTCAGCTTGCATACTAGATTCCTGTGAAGAAGGTTCAGGTTTAATTCTTGATATGTGAGTCCATGAAGAATGGCCTTCCAATTTTACTGTAGTGGAAGTACATAATACAACCCAGTAAGGGGACCTTCCATTTTGGAGTTAAAACCCCTGCTGTATTAGACTTCCAGTCTTTTAAATACATCATGTCTCCTGGATTTATATGGGGTGGGTTTCTAGTAACAGTCAGATCAGGTTAAGCAAGGCTATGACTTGCATATTCATTTAGAGATGTATCAATTAACCCGGCCTCAAGTGAATAATTAAATAAAGCGCTATAGTCTATTTATAGGTCTACAGTGAGAAAAGACTTTCCATATGCAATTATTGGAGGAGTCCATCCCATTTTTAGTTGTTTAAGCAATCATATGCCCATGGGGTCCTGTTACTCTCTGCACAGAATAACAAGCAAGAAGATTGTCCATACCTGTGCTATTGTGACAGTTTTTTTCAAGTTTATCTCAAGTTGTCCAGCTTAGGCAAACAATATTTGTAGACTATCAGAAGTAGAATTTTACATCCACGAAGGTGCATTATTGAAACATAGTTTTTCTCTTTAAAAACCCTCATTTCCAGAGGAAGCCAAATCAAGACTAATTCATTTGTAAAACAAGTCCAGTTTTCACAACCTTGACCTAATAATTACATAAGCTCAGCAAGACTGATGATTGAGCATCTAGATCTTTGAAAATTTGCTTTGCTGGAACCTTTCATAAGGAACCTCTAGACTGAAATTCTAGTAGCCTGCCTAGGCCAAAAGCCAGGTCAAGTACTTGGCATCAGACCTGTCTGCAAAACCTGCAGATTTGGGCAGATTCCTTTTCATGAGGTCCCCACAGTATCCTGAGGTTCCTGTACCTTCCAGGAAGTGACTTTTTTACTCACCTGGTAAGGCTGCTGGGAACTCTGTAAGCAAGGTATCAGGCCAGCATTTCCAAGGGGCTTTATTGGCATTATGCTTCATAGTCAATCTTAGTTTCTTAAAGATGTTACCATTCTGGCTAGGGTACTAACTTCCAACCATAAGGCAGGCTTTCTCTTCCGGGTAGAATAGCCACGGTTGAAGGGATGGCAGCCTGAGCGATTGACATGACAGTGTTCCAATAAGACCATACTTCTCAAAAGACCCTGAAATGAGGGTAAAGGAAGGAAAGAGTACTCATCAAGTTTGCACCAGCCCAGAATCCAGATGAAAAGACTGCCCCACATGATGGGTGCCATATAAATGATGAAGTTTTGGGGGTGATAGTGGGGTTCGCGGGGTCCGGAGCCCACGCCAAGAAAGAATTCTTGAAGACATCTTTGGTGCAAAAGGGTGATTTTATTAAAGCACAGGGACAGGACCGTGGGCAGCAAGAGCTGCCCCTTGTGTTTGCTTTTTTTAAATTTCTCTACAGTTTCCAGTGAATTTTGGTGTAGGTGGTAAAGTTTGTGTGTACATTTCATTTCATATGGTTTCCAATTGTTCCTTAACTATTTGGGGCACAGTTAGGGGATAGTGGGCTCCGCTTCAGTTTCAATTTCCAAAATGTCATGGATTCAGCTCGTGGCCAGGAAGGGGCGCTGCCTCCGTGGACCTGTGAGCCCAGCATGTCCAGCACTACCTCCACCGCCTGCAGGGGGGCGCCTGAGCCAGGCGCTCGCACGCGCTTTCAGCCCGCCTCCTGTGTGACAGGAGCCACGCTTCCTCGGGACCCGCCGTGGGGGATTCAGGAGGACGTGGGGCCGCGTCCACATCGACAAGAACCCGGTCTCCTCAGGACCCGCCTGGGGAGGCGCAGGTGAGGAGAAAGCGAAGCCCGGAGAGGAGGAGCTTCCGGGGCGGGGACGCTGAAGGGGGTCGGTGTTCAGGGGACTCATCGGGGGAAGGACCCGGCGCCGCTTCGAGGCGCCGTGATACTGTGTCCCCCGCGGGGCTGTGCGCGCGGCCGTCGGGCCTTCCCGCTCCGGGCCCCGGGGCCGCGCGTCCGTGTTCCTGCTCCGCGCCAACTCGGTTTCCGCCACGTCCTCATGCGGTTCACGGTCTGGGAGCAGGTGCCCGGGCGGTGCTTGCGCTCCGGTCGCTCTGGCCGCTCTGGTCGGGGTGTCTGTTCCGTGTCTGCGACGGCGTCCTGGGGAGTTCGGTGCCGGATCTGGCCCCGGATCTGTAGATCGCTCCGCGCAGGACGGACGTGGTCACAGTGTCAGTTCCTCCACGTCCAGGAGCACAGAGTGGCTTTCCATCCCTGTGAGTCTTCCTCCGTTTCTGTCCCCAGTGTCCTGTCCTCAGAGAGCAGGCCTGGCCTGTCACCTGCTTGCTTAGATTACCCACCTCCCCCCACCCCCCAGCACGTCGTCGTTCCTTCTGATGCGGTTGTAAATGGGATGGTCTCTTTCTTCTTCCTGTGGGTCATCAGGCGTGTGTAGATGTGCATGGGGTGTTTGTGTGTTGGTCTCATATCCTGCGAGTGTGCTTATTCATTGGTTCTGTTTACCTTAAAAACAACACCTCCAGTTTCTACCAGCAAAAGCGGGTTTCTTTGGAAAGAAGAGAGTATTTGACCTCCTGTGATTGGCGTATTTCCCTCAGGACGATGACTGCAAGGTTCAGTCCATGTTGTAACAGGTGTCAGAATTCCCTTCCTTTGTGAGGCTGAGCCTGTTGCATTGTGTAGAGACCACATCTTGTGTATTTATTCACCTGTCCCGCCGTCACTTGGGTTGCCTCCGTGTTTTAGCTGTTGTGAAGAAGCTGCTATGAACACAGGAACAGGAATGTCGGCTCAAGGCTTCGCTTTCAATTTCTGGGTACGTGTGTGCAGAGGTGGAGTCCTGTGTTAACTTTATGAGGAACCACTGCACTGTTCTCTACAGCCTCACCATGTTACTTCATTCCTTTATAGGACAGAATGATATTGCTGTTCGTGGGTTTGCCCCAGTTTGTTTATCCACTCACCCACCGCGGGGCATTGGCATAGTTTCTACCATTCCACTACTGTGAACAGTGCTGCTGTATATGTTTGTGCACGTGCTCTTTTTTAAAACTACTGTTTCCAATTCATCGGGATATACATCTAAGAGTAGAGTTATTGAGCCATATGGTAATTCTATGTTGTTATCTTTTTGAGGAAATGCCAAATTATTTTACACATAGGCTCCACCTTTTTACATTTCCACATTAAGGGTTCCAATTTGTCAATATCTTTGCCAACATTTGTTATTTTGTAGTTTTCTTGATTATAGCAATTTTAGTGTGTGTAAAAGGGTATCTAACGGTGGTTCAAATCTTCCATTTCCATAAGGACTAATGTTTAACATCTTTACGTGTCTATTCACCATGATCTCCCTGGGGAAAGGTATATCTGAGTCCTTTGTCCATTTTAAAACTTATTTGTTGTTGTTGTTGATGATGAGTTGTAAAAGCTCTTTATATATTCTGTATAACAGACTGTTACAACACAAATAATGTGCGAATATTTTCTTCCATTCTAGGTATTGTCTTCTCACTTTTGGGATAGCACCTTTTGATCTACAAAGGTTTTTAATGTTGAGGAAACTAATTATCTACTTTTTTCCCCTTGCTTGTGCTTTGGTGTCAGCTCTAAGAGCATTGTTAAACTCAATGCTCATGAAGATTTATCCCCATTTATTCTTCTAGAGTTTATAAGTTTACCTCTTACATTTGAGTTTTTGATCCACTTTGAGTTAATGTTTGTATGTGGTGTGAGGGTAAGGGTCCAATTTCATTCCTCTGCGCATGTGATAGTCAGTTGTCTAGCACCCTTTTGTCGCAAAGACCATTGTATCCATAATGGCATGTTGTCCACCCTTGTCAAAATTCAGTTGACCATAGATGAAAGGGTGTATTTCTGTGTTTTCAATTAAATCCCACTGATCTGTATGTATATGTTTATGACAGTATCACAATGTTTATTGCTTTGTTTGAAGATTTGAAATTGGGAAGTATGAGTTCTACCTTTTATTTTTTTGATTGTTTTATTTATTTTGTAGTCCCCTGATTTTCCATATGACTGTCAGGATGAGCTTGTGCATTTCTTCTCAGAGGCCTTTGTGAATTTTCCTGGGAATCACATTGAATCTACATGTTGCATTGTGTACTGTCGCCATTTAGCAATAGTACATGTCAGATCATCTTTAACTTCTTTCAGCAGTGTTTTTACATCTTTTACCAAGTATTTTATTGATGATGTTACCTAAAATGGAATTGTTTTCTTAAATTCTTCTTCATAGGGTTCATTGTGAGTGTATAAAAATAAGTGAGATATTTGTGCATCAAAATTTTGCCCTGTAACTTTCCTGAATTAGGTGACTAACTCCAATAATTTTTGTTGATTTTTTTTGGAAGTCCTTTATATAAGATGATGTCATCTCTGGTTTCTGAATAGATGTAGTTCTACCTTTTCCTTTCACATGTGGATGACTTTTTTTTTCCCTCGTTGCTCTGGATAGAACTTTCAGTACAGTATTGAGTAATGACTGAAAAGCCTGCATCTTGGCCTTGTTCCCGGTATCAGAGGAAACCTTCCAGTCTTCAAAATTGAGAATGATTTTTGCTGTAGGTTTATTAAACAAATTACTCTTTATTCTGACTTTCTCGTGTGCGTATCATAAACTAGCATTGGATTTTGTTTAGAGCTTTTTCTGTATCAATTAATATGATCACATGTTTTCATTTAAAAAAATGTGCATAACAATGCTTGGTTTCAGCGTGTTGAATAACCCTTGAATGTCTGGGGTAGACTTGCTTAT